TGCCTGCTCTATTTCGAATTGTGCAGGACGAGCATCCTCCTTTACCAGAAAGTGCTTCACCCATTGTAAAGGATTTTCTAATGCAATGCTTTCAAAAGGATAGTAATCTTCGTGTGTCTGCTAGGAAATTACTAAAACATCCCTGGATAACAAATGTTCAAAAGAAGGCTGCTGACACGAGACTAGAGCCGAGGGTATCGACTGATTACGATGAAGTGGTAGAAAGCGTTAAAAAGTGGAATGAGGCATTAAAAGGTTCCCATTGGAATCCGCCTCAACCACCACACGGGAGGAGGAGAAGTGAATCCTTAAGATTAGCGGCCACTATGCCACGAATCCAATTTCAACAGTCTTTACAACTCAGTGGCTCGTCTTCTCCGATTCCGAAAATATCATTGGGCAATATTGATAATATTAACGGTAGTAGTGATAATAATTGGGAAAAGATAATGGCTTTAAATTAGAATCTTCTATTCACTCCTTCAGCTCAACAAAGCAATCGTCTGTCGGTCACGGTTGAACCTGAAGACGAAGAAAATAATAATTGGGACGATGATTTTGTGGATTCAATACCATACTCCAAAATTGCCGAACATCAAAATCGAAAATTAGGTCATAAATCATCCGAAGAGGATCAAACTATACGACTTACTCAAACCAAAAATGAAAAAAAAAATAAGGATAAGGGAAAGAAACCGATGGTCAATAAAGTGCAAAAAGAGGAAGAAAATTTCACGGAAGAAACTGTAATAGAGGACACGGTTAGATTGACGTCCGGAGGGATAAATAGTAATTGGGAATCAACGCAGGAAACCATCATTCGGTTACCAAAGAAAATTATGAGTCCAAAGGAAAATGCCAAAAATAACAACGGCATAGCATTGTCAAAATCACCTGTACCGATTGATGACAAACAAAAGAACTCTACCAGACCGGAGCAACCGGTCATAAAAACGCTCAAGCAACATGCTCGTGCCCATAGCGCAAATTACGCCCACGAGTCTTCAATCAACAAGTCACCGCTACTTCCCCTACCTACGCAAAAATCTGTATCTTCAACTGTTTCAGCAACTGCGACAACACCTTCGTCAAGAAGAACTCCTCTTTTCAAAAAGGACCCCAGGATTGAGATACCGGATTCAAAAACCCCAATGCTCACCCCTCCGCCGTCATCACCTTCTGGGCTATATGATGATTCTCCAAGTCCTAGTGAGATATATCAGTATCGAGAATCCGATGATGATGATGATTACAACAACATTTTCCGTAATGAATCTGAGGATGACGAAGACGGCTCAAATCACACGTTGAAATTGAATACGCGGTTATCGAACAAGAGTAACAGTTGGTTGAGGGATGATGTAAGTGATGAAGACGATCCATTCGCAGAAATGGAAGAGAACTATTATGAAATGGATATGGATACGCATATTGCCATGGACAAGTTTGTGCGGGCGTCTGGTCGCTTGGAAGAACTTATCAGTGCACTGCAGCCAAGTGAAAGCGAAGAACGATTGGTGTTTTTGTGTGTCCAAATAACCGAACTTTTAATCGAACATAAAAACCTCAAAAACCATTTCATAATATTTCACGGTGTAATCCCCATAATGGAGATGCTGGAGATATGTTCTTACAATAACGTACTTTCCAGATTATTGAAAATTGTGAACATTATCATTGAAGACAATATAAGCCTCCAGGAAAACTTGTGTCTTGTTGGAGGTATTCCCATCATTATGAACTTCACGCTGAAACGTTATCCATATGAAATTCGGGTCGAGGCGGCGATATTTATCCGACACATTTGCCATACATCTCCAATTGTCCTCCAAATGTTTATCGCCTGTAGAGGGCTAAAAGTGTTGGTTGAATTCTTGCAGGAAGATTACAATGAGCATAAAGAATTGGCGTGGATAGCCGTAAATGGAATATCTGGCGTTTTTGAACTGCAGAGTCCAACTCCAAAGAACGATTTTTGTCGATTATTAGCGAAGAATGGATTGTTGGATCCGTTGGCTCTTACCTTACACAGTATAATAGCAGAGAATGACCCATCGGCCAAAGACTATATGGAGAGGATAGTGAATATATTTTCGTTGTTTTCACAAGGAGACGCGTACGTTAAAGAAGTCATGGCTACTCGTACAAGGGTTGTTACTCGTATATTTGAGGTTTTGGATAAATTACCTCAAGATCTGATGGTGATCATGCTTAAGTGTATAAAGAACATCTCCATGAATTCAAATACTCTCGAAGCTCTGCAAAAGGCCAAAACTATTCAGGTTCTAACGGCGATAATGGACAAGCAAGAAGCACCTTACATCACCGAGATCGCAAATCAAGTGCTCAACACAATGTACAATCTTTGCCGGATCAATAAATCACGACAAGAAGAAGCTGCAAAGGCAGGATTAATTCCTCATCTGCAGTACTTCGCTTCAAAGAAGACACCGCTTAAGCAGTTTGCACTTCCAATTTTGTGTGACATGGCGCATACAGGACAAGTGTGTCGAGATTTGTTGTGGAAACATAATGTATTGCAACTTTATCTAGACCTATTGATTGACCCATACTGGCAGGTGAATGCACTGGAAGCCATAATTGCATGGTTTCAGGAGGAGACGTACAAGGTTGAACAAATGCTCATTGAACCAAGGAGTATTGACCTTATGCTGGGGGCGTTCGTCACTGCAAAAGCAAATTCATTTGAATCCATTCTGGAACCATTTCATCTTTTAATGCAGCTATCTAAAGATGTTACATGCGCTCTAGCCCAACCTAATTTCTTCAAGCGCCTCTTGCAACGACTTGGTCATCCTAAACCTGTAGTGAGATTGAATTTGCTGAGGGTGTTGAAAACGGTTTGTGATGTGTACCCACAACGTGAAACGGTTATACAAAAATATGATTTGATCGATGTTATTCTTAAAATGAGTAAAGATGATCCCGCTGTGTTGATAAGAGAAAAAGCAAAGGAAATATTGTCACAAGGTTACTTTAGTCCGAAGGATGAGGTATCTCCAGAATCTTCTGCTACACCGATTGAAAAGGACATGAATGATGAGATCTTTGTTGTGGATGAGGAAGAACAAGAAGTGATACAACAAAACATATTTGGATCAAGTGATGCCGAGAATAATTCAGATGATAATGACTTTGGGTGTGAGGGTATAAATGAGGACGATATCAGTTGACTCGGGGCGGTTCGGGTGGATACTTACCACCGGAACCAATACCACTCGCGTCGAACTCATCGATCAACTTCATCACCACCACCAAATACATTCCGGAGGCGAGCAATGTCATCTCCTGTGTCTTCAAATATATTATCACATTCATTACCACATTCAGCACCTAGCTCAGTACCTACCGTTCAACACTACTCACGTCCGTTATCCTCCACGTCTCCAAAAAATCGACTAATGTCAATTCCTTCAGAACCATCCCTAGCGAACCATAGACGTAGAATATCATGGACACCGTCTACGCATAAAACCAAGCATGCACAGTCAACTTCATCTTTAGTACTTATTTCCGAATCCAAATCTTCAACGGAGGCTGTAGTTACATCAAAATCAAGTGTGTCTCTCGACTCCTCATTACCTTTTCCTTACGAGAAAATTCAAAAGCGACATACCTCACGTAAAATAAGAGCGCTATCGTACAACCGATCCTACAACAGTCAACCAAGTCCAATTGAAGAAACAATAGAACCTAATTTTAAAGAACATTCTAAAACTAATGCTAATTCACCCAATAATTCTATTTCTAGTTCATCGCACCCTGGAGGTGTTTTTGGCTGGTTTAGGAAGCGAGTGTTAAAAGATACGGGAAAGGGGTTGAAATCTTTGAAGAACAGTAGTTCTAAACAGGATTCCATACTTGGGGATGAAAAATTTTTGGATGAGAAATAAGTTTTAATATAACAATTCTTACACATGATTTATCTTATTCACTATTTGCTTGTATATTTGAAGTTTTCACCTTTCATATTTACCTACAATTAATTTTGCGCACACCATAAAGACGGTCATTCATCGTTCTTTTCAAAATCACCAATTGCATCATGTTTCCCACTTTATTAGAAATAATCCCCATTGCAATATTTATTACTTTATTAATAATATAAGATTGGGTTCCCAAGTTTGTGTAGTCCCGTATCTTTAAAATTTATTACTTAGTAAATTACCTGTCTGGTGTGCTCACTCGTTTTTTTAATTCATTTTACTTTAAAATTCCATTCATTTCTAATATTTATTATTTTTTATGGTGACTTCGTGTAAATCTTGGAAAAATCATTTTTTTTCTTTTTTTTTTTCTTTTTTTTTTTTTCTTTTTTTTTAATGATTTATGAAAGTGAGCAACAATTTTTGAGAATGAAAATTTTTCCTTTTATAAAGGAATGAATTAAATATGTACGTGTGCATAATAAAAGATATTTTTCTTTAAGGTGCAAGATTAAATTTAATATATTTTTAATTTGACTTAAACAAATGGTTAAATTTTGGTTAAGCTTTATTATTTTATGATTTTGTTTATAATTGTATATTTTAAAATTTTGAATTTGATTGTAATTTTATTTTATTTTTGATTATTTATTTGTATACTTTGTTATTTTTATATTATTAATATATAATATATATTTTAATTTCATTTAATTGAAGCAAATATTATGTGTATTTATAAATTTAATTAACAATATTCTACTTTAAAAATAAACTTACTAGAAATAACTAAATATAATTCAATATTAGTTTCTATTACATTGTTATGGATTAGGATATAAAAACAATTATAATATAATCCTTGACTTTACAACACTAGATACAGAAGTTACAGTTTTAACAAGAAATGATAAATAAAAAGAAGATATGAATTTGACAAGTTTAAATAATTTGATGAAATTTTATTAATTAAAACAATATAATAAGTATAATAATTTTATTTGATAACAATAAAAAAAAACTCTCTCCTGATCGCGTCCATTTTGTTAAAAATTTTCCTTTTATGGTAATTTTAAGCAAGAAAAAATGT